TCATCCCACTCATGCTTTCTTCCCCGCACCCGTCTGCTCCCTCCTCCTAATGCAGACATCTGTTCCCCACCCACTCCTTCGTCACCACCCTCCCATCTCTCATCCTGCTCCCAGGCGGTGTCTGTCTGCAGCGCCCTCTCTGTCCCTGTCTTGAAGTCACAGGCCCTCAAGTCCCACACCTGCAGCTTTCTGGCACCCTCAACCCTGGACACTTGCCGGTCCCAGGGCAGCCAGTTCCATTCTTGGACAGCATTAGCTGTGAGCTCCTCAAACTGCGCCCAAATTTGCCTCCCAGAAGATAAGTTGGTCCTGGTTACATCCTCTGGAGCTCTGTCAAATGAGCTTAATCTTTCTTTCACATGACAGCTTTTCTCTTAGACGCATGACATCGGGGTGCTGTTTTACTCCACCTGCGCTTCCCACATCCAGTCACTCATGGGCTCCAGGCCTGTTGTTTCTTCATTTGTCTCCTTATCCTCCTCTTCCTCTCCATCACCACTGCTCTGCCCTGGCCTACCTACATCAAGTTTTTCCCTCTTCCAATTCTTCTCCCTTACTGCTACAAGATGAATTTTTCCAAAATACCAATGAGTACATATCTCCCCTCTGATGGTGCCTGGAGCTTACAGGATAGTCCCCGCCCCATAACCTGGCATTTAAGGTCTTCTTTTCTTGGCCTCCTATTTTAAGCACAATTGCCTCCTTATACAAAACCCTTAACTGCAAGCAAACCAGTCGATTCACGGTGATGCTGCCTGTGGGGCCCAATCTATAACTTATTTTTTTTCCACCAACCCTGTCTGCTCTTTGACAGCCTCCCTGGCTCTGAAAGAATCCCCTCCCTGATGCTACAGAGCCCACAGGCCTCACCACTGTGCTTTGCATATATGGTCTCATTTTTGATGTGAGTCCAACTGTAAATCCCAGAGAACCCATTTCACCTCCATGCCGTTCAAAACTCATGTCCTCAAACATAAACCCAGCTGCCAGCACTCCCTGAGTCTCTTCCCCATTTCCTTCAACAGCTCTTCCTCAAGGCAAGCTTTGGGTTTCTCTGTTTTTCCAGCAGCCTCTGAACAGGCCTCAGTGCTCTCTGTGGGGTCTGACCATGGTCAGGTACAGTGAAACCATGGTACCCTTGAACACAAAGTAGGGAAAGAGATGCAATAAATTATGATGTGACAATTGAGCTATCAGCATTTATTTATTTAGGTTACCAAAATATTTGATCAGTGCTTGAGTTCTTCATGTCTTAATGAGTCCTATGTTTTTCCTGGGAAAACTTTTCCAGGACTGCTCAGGAGCAGGGACAACTTCCTTTGCTCATTCATTTAAAAAAAATGTTGCATATCTACCATATGCTATGAATACTTTCTGGAACAAATTCTAGAATGTGAATTTGTTGTATTGTTCCAGAAGAATTTGAATTCTTACTCACTTTCTCAACTTCTGTTGCTATTTACAAGTGATGTAACTGGTAAATTCTCTAATTTCACATTTCCCTACTGTTTTATTTTTCAGTATGCCCTTTAACTTTTCTGTACATATCAGGTATGTGTTTTAGATGCAGCCCTCATAGTCATGATCCTGTAATCAGAGCCCTTATGGAGTTAGTAGAGAGGGGAAGCCAAGAGCACAGATTCCAAACAAACAAACACGGCTTTGCCCTGGGCTCTGCCACTTACCAGCTATGTGAACTTCAGTATCTTACTTACCCTTTTGAGCTTCAGTTTTCTCATCTTTCTTAGAAGGAATAGTGCCCATTGCATAGATGGTGAGGATTAGATGAGAGAATGTATTTGTGACATGCTCATCACACACACACACATACAAAACAAAAACAAAAACAAAAACAAAAACAGGTGCTGTCCACTACTGCCAATGATTCTCCCAGTGAAGTGCTTTGATCCTACATGGTAGGTTATGAAATGTCCAAAGCAGGCCTTTGACGACGATGACTGTGATGGTGAAACGGTTAAAACCGGACAGGGAGGCCCTTATGACTCAAAACTAGTGCTGGAATCACACAGCTCAAAGTTACTAGAAAACTGTTTTACTACTGTTTTGCCTGGGTAGTGAAGGCCAAAGCGCTTCCTCCTTGTCCACTGTGGCTATAGGGAAATCTGGTGATGATAATGCAATGCATAATTTCTAAGAGAGTGGAGGGGCTTTGGGGACTATGGTAACAATAATAGACAAATGATCACTACCCTTTAGGGTATAGCACTATTTCCACTTCCACCCTCCAGTACCAAAGATCAGTGGCCAAATAAAGTACTGACAATCTTACAACTAGGCAAACATTCCCTAGCTCCAAATGAAAGATGTAGGTGGAAGTCGCTCTGGAGAACATGGCTTAGACTAGCAGGCCCAAGCAAAGTCTCTCTTCCCATGAGTTAATACCTATAAACCACATGGACAAAGGTCACAGTGACCATGACTCCTTTTGCCTGGACTCCAGGGGTCAACTCCACCACACAGCTGCAAATCCAAGCATCAGAAGGGCAAGAAGAGGGAGGACCTGCTGCTACCAGAGGAGGCTCAGAGGGCAATGGAGAGGAGCCTGCCTTGGCATGCTTGGGAATTCACTGACTGTTTCTTATTGACCCTATAAAGTAGGTAGTATTATCACTCCTATTTTGCAGGTGAAAAAAACTGAGGCACAGATGAAGCAAGTGGCCAAGGCCATACAGCTATGGAGGCTGAGCTGGGACTTGAACTCAGGTAGGCTTGTTCCTGATGGGCTTGTTACATATTCACTGTCTCTTGCTAAAGGCCTCAATCATGCGCTTAGCCTCCCAACAGGGAAGCTCTGTGCTTCCCTCTCTTTGTGAGCACTTGACATCACAAACAAGTGCGACCGTGTAAAGTGTGCTGTCGAGGGAGCAATGTGGTGACTTGCAGGTTGTTCTTGTAAGTATGTGCCTGGGTGTCCTTGTAATTAAACAAAAGCAAAAGGTAAAAGGGGTAAGTGTAGCCAGGTCTGTAACCGGAACAGCCTTTGGACATCACTGAGATAATTTAGACACATTGTTACTATGTCTCTCTGGCTCTCCTTTCCTTTAGGGGAAACATAACAAGGAACACCCTTCACCTGCCATATTTTTTATCACCTGACTCTCACTCTTCCACAGTTGGCCCAAAGGTGGCTTCAGAGCCAAAGGCCCCTAACCTGTAGGCTGGCCAGGGACCTACAGTGTGGCCTGCTGAGAAATGACAAGCAATTGCATTCTCAGTCTTGGGAATCTGACTTTGGAAATACAGAGGCAATGAAGCTGTGAAGAGTAGGGGTTGAAGCTGAAAGAATCTGGAGGTGGTTAAGGCTATGATTGTCTAGGCAGAAGAAGCTGACACTGTGGTAGAGCTGAGTATCATAGAGTGGAGAGTTGGAAGTGAAGCAGACACAGAAGAGCCTGGTCAAGGCAGAGAAGCATTATGGCAGCTCATGTTCAACTCTGCCTGCAAAGAGGAATCATCTGGAGAGGGTTTCACAGATATTGGTGACTGGCTCCCCTCCAGAGAGTCTCTGTAATTGGTGTAGAGTGGGACTCAGGTACTAGTGAGTTAGAAATCTCCCCACTGACCTTCAGAGGAATTTCTTGGCCTCCTGGCATGCCTGCTGCTGAGTTTCGTGGCTCTCTACACTCCGGCTCCAGCCCTGCAGAGGTCCCGTGGTGCAGGTTCTCCTGGGTGCACTGGCAGTCACTTTAGGACATGTAATCACTTGCAGCCTGATTTTGTACAAGTATTAGAGCAGCAAAATGGTTAAGGACGATGGGCCAAACCCCACAGGATTGAGTTTAATTGGTCCAAACCAAACATAATAATTCCATTCTCCTTTTCCCATCTTAGAGATGGGTATGTGATTCGTTCTGACCGATGACATGGGAGGAGACAGAACGGGGGAAGCTGGAAAACCCCCTCAACCTATCTGCATTTGGAAATTATGCTGCAGATGTGATACTTGAAGCTTCAGGAGCCATCTTGTGACTATGAGGGAAAAACCAAGAGAACTGCAGAGAAGCTGACCAGAGCCCTGGTAGGATTATTGCTGAATTAACCAACCCAGGAATCACCTACCTCCAAATTTTTATTGCTTACTATGTGCTTACCATGAGCCAGGTGCTGTTCTAAGAACTTTTCCTGTATCAATTAATGGAATCCTTAACCAGCCTGGGTGTGCAAATGATACATGCCATCTCTCTGCACCTGCACCTGTACCCCAGCCCCTCCACACCCAAGGCATCAGAACTGGCTCTGTTTCCTGCAGGAGCAGCCTTCCCATACGCTACTCAATGCAATCTAAGCATGTCTCTCTGTGAGACAAAGGGCATGATGTGCATACTGTTGGGGGAAAGAATAGCCAAAAGATAGCAAAAGGCCTCAGAATTAATGAGCTCTATGTCTATAGGCCACAGGCCGTGCTGGCACTGGCTGTGCAGTACATGTCCACACAGTGCCACGTGTTCAGGACGTTTTCAGGGGATGCCTTTCTTGACACTCAATAACGCTGCTGCCTGGCTCCCCACCCTTTCCTTTCACCCCCTCACTGGCTGTTCTACTCTCACTCCATTGCTTCCCTCTCCCCCTCCTCTCTAAGTCTCCAACAATGGGATATCAGAGGAAGAGAAACATAACACCCCTCCCCGACCCAAAAAACCAACTCTGGCATGACCGCAGGCAGAGCTTTAAAATCTGGATTTCTAGGCAGCAGAGTCCTAAATATTAACAAGTTCTCTCATCAGCCTCATTGTGTCTTCGGAATAAGCTTCCTTTCCAGGCTGTCCTATTCCCCCAACACAAGCTTAGCTATCCCATGAGAGAGGCCCTGACAGCCTCCTCATGCTCTGCAGCAGGGAGCAGAACACAGCCCTCCTAGGGCACTCTCAGCAGCCACCACGCCTTTCCTCCCCCATCTTCACACACTCATTCACAAGCTCTGAAATTGGTCAGCATTGGCTCAGCCCCTTCGTTTGGACTCAAAGAACACCACAGGTGCAAACAGTTTATATAGACTTTATTTTTCACCCGTTGAGATGAGCACACAAAAATCTGGGCAGGCAGAGGTCTATGAGATGCAGTGTCACAATTACCTGCCCGGGGTCACAGACACAGACCATGAGACTCGGTGGTGAGGGAAAAGGGTCTTGTTCCTACCACAAATTGCTATGGGATTATCACAATGACACATTTATTCCTGGTTCTATTTACATCATGGAGTGTGGAGAGGGTACATTTCTTACACTAAAAATATATACTTTGGAATCTCTAAAACAAAAATATCTCTATCTCTACATGAGACCCACTGGAAATAAGAACATAGAAAACAAGGGAAATGTACCAGCACCTCGAGTTGTCCCCTTCCGAGGGAAGGTTGCTCTGCTCTCCACCTGACACCATTAGCTTGGAAGAGCAGCCAAATCTAACCAATCAGACACAGACACAGATAAATGAGGGAGGCTCTATGATCCTGGAGGAGTGAATATAGGAGAAATGAAGGAGGAGGAGGATTTTGGCCTCTTCTGCAAAAGGAGTAATTGCACAATCAGTTTGGTGCTTCTGTTTCCAACATTATTGCACATGTGAAAAGCCTGCATGTTGAAGTCAATTGCAAACCTGCTAAGAGAAGCCCAAGCTCCACTGATTTCTGCTGGGCACAGAAAAGTGCCGTGGGTGGGTTCTCTCTCTCAAGAAATATTAATGCCATCAGCTAGAGAAAAAGTTCTGTATTCTCCAATGCTGAAATTGGGTTAGGTTTAAGAAAAATGCTATTCCTTTTCTCTTCAGAAGGATCAGAAACCATTCCCTTCCCTTTGAGCACAGAATCTCCTAAAAGAATTATGCCTATGGATGAATCATTCCACTTTCTGAATTTGCCTATTGAAAAGGTTCACATAACACCCCTTCCCTCTTTTCACACTTTAAGCAGTAATATAGTTCCTTTACATCTCTTTTGGTTATGAAAATTACCCTCCTTTCTGATGAAAAGATGTTAACTTACTCAACTGCTCATTCTCTACAATTAGTATTAAGAGACCAAGGGAGTCAAGAATCATAAAGGATAGACTTAGTAGAAAATCACTTCTATTTGGCTTTGAAATGTGCTTTTCTGCCTACACTGAAATATGGATAAAACTGAAGGCTTGAGAATTCTTAGTCCCTCACCCTAAATAAGGGAAATAACCATAAAGTCCCCTTTCAAAAAAGCCCCAGGACTGTCCAACCTCCTCACCATTCTCACCACCCCCAGCTGGTGGTGGTTTTAGGACCTCTGACCAAGAACTTCTTTCCTCCAAAGAGGACTAGGCAGACTGAGGAAAAGGCAGAAAAGAGAGGAGAAAGGGGTGCTTGAAAAAGCTGAGACAGTAAAGGAGGGAGGAACTTGGATGATGTCTCATTTGGCCATTTTGGTTCTGCTCAAAGGACTTCTACCTAATGGGAGGCCCAACACCTATGACCAGAAGAAAGCCAAAAGGACTGAGAGGTTCAATGCAAGGTTCCTGGATGCCCTGCTAGGATGTGGCTTGGGAACCTGAGAAGTTCAAGGAAAACCCAGTAACAAACTGGCAAAGACAACCATTTAGAGGTCCACGAAGGAGTTGCTACCCCCTTACAAAATAAATTTAGAGAAGCTGATAGAGTGACAGAGAGAATATATTGATAGCATTTCTGATGTTCGTCGAAAAGCCAGCCAGGCACTCTGGGCCAGGCCTGCTCCTATGCTTCAGGAAAACTCAAACTCAGAACACAGACATTGAAATCAACAAAGACGATGCAGGGAGAATGTGGAATTCCTTTACTAAGAGGGAAGTCTGGAGAGTTGAGTGGGCAGAAAATAAAGTAGGACTAGGAACTATCTTTTTTGGACAACCAGAAACTACAGATTCCCCAAGCCAGAGATTTCTTGAAGGTCACAGCTATCATAGACTGAAATATCAACCAACCCCAGGACTTAGCATATACCAGATTTTTATCAAACATTTATAACTAATTTAAAAGCCAATCACATCCCAGACAAAGAGAAACCCTGACTCTTCACATCATCTTTTGGAAATATATGGCTTACTACTCACTACCCCAAATGCCAGTCTCTACACATAAAGAGATAGGGACAGGAGCTGTATGTGGTAAAGACCACATCTCTTGGCAATCCTGTCTTCAGAAGTTGGAAGTCATATCTAGACAATAATAGCCAGGCTGTGTTTTCTGCAATCAAACATATTTGGCAATTTCACAGTATATTTCTGCTGGTCTTCACCTTCTCTCCAGACTTACCCTTCCCTAAAAGTTATGGCTAGCAAGTAATCCACCCACTTAGTAAGTCCAGTTCTTTTCATTTAGAGCTAAGATCCTACTCATCATCACTTTCTCGAATCTCTGGCCTCCCTTCTTTCCTCCCTCTCTACACCAGCCTATCAGAGCATTGGCCTGCCAAAACTCAAACTGTTTCTGAAATCTCCCACTGTCATGAAAGAGGTGGACCACTTCCCTGGCCCAAGCAAATGTAGGCATGGAAATCACATAACTAACTACCTGTCTTGCTTTCCACTCTGAAATTTTTCCTCCTTCTGCTGAGTTTAAACATCTTTTTCCATAGACTAATCTGTATTTGTCCTCAAACTACTCTTATCAGAGAAGTCTGAGATGGGCACCCCCTAGATGGGAGAATGGCCATATTTTTTTAATGTTCCTCCAGCTAGGTGCACAAAGACTAGAAGTAACAATGAAATCTTATGGCTATACTCTCATTTGTCAACAAATACACATGCAAATGTGTGTGTGCATACACACACACACACACACACACACACACACACACACACACACACACTGCTGCTGCTTCACCTCTACTCATTTCCTACCCCAAACACTGCCCACCTTGACTCTGGTGCCATTATCACCAGCCACAGACCTAAGCAAGAAAGCAGCCAGGACTCGGGTTGGGTGATTGGTGGGAGTTGGCAAAGAGGAGGGTGTAAGAATAGAGAATGGTTCCTACCACAGAGGTGAAGCAGAAATGAGGCTGGCTATTGTTTGAGAAAAATTTAATGGCCTAAAAAGGTTGGTATAGCCTTCAAAAGTAGCTAATAGACCCTGCCAAAGGAAACCAAGACAGGCCCCCTCAAGATATGGAGCACACATCAGTCTCCATATCCATTGAGGAAAGCTTCCTACTAATTCCAGCATGAGTTGCATGTGCCATGCCCCCTACAGCAGAGGCCATGTTCCAGCCTTGTTAATTCTGTACAGTGATCATGTGCAGCACCGCCATACCACTGCTAACCATGTGCGCAGCAACTGTGTGCAGCATCATACCATCATTATGGCAACAATTTCCTGTTGATGAACATTTAAGCCAACCTGATGGAAAGTCAATAAGCTGGTTACCAGCAGGATATGAAACAGACATAAAATTCTGACAAACCCTGATGATGCAACTCACAGGCTTGGATTGTATCATGCAACACTACACATTCTTATTGCTCTTTACAGATATTTTGAGAGATAACTCTTGTGCAAGGTCTGCTAAAAACAGATTTAATGCATTCAAAGCTGCTCCAGGAATCAGTGACACACAAATCAATTACCTGCAGCTTGATGTTTCTGCCTATGTTGCAAAAATGGTGGGATAACTTGGTGTCATAAAACCCTGATTAGAATACTGTCTCAAAAAGTTGGAGGATCTGGATAGCCACTAATGGTTCAGGTTCATCTAGTGGCTCATGAGTCACAGATGACAACACTTGTGGCAATAAATAACTTTCTTAAAGATTTCAGGCTGGGCGTGGTGGCTCACACCTGTAATCCCAGCACTCTGGGAGACTGAGACGGGTGGATCACAAGGTCAGGAGTTCGTGACCAGCCTGGCCAATATGGTGAAATCCCGTCTCTACTAAAAACACAAAAATTAGCTGGGCGTGGTGGTAGGCACCTGTAGTCCCAGCTACTTGAGAGGCTGAGGCAGGAGAATCACTTGAACCCAGGGGCAGATGTTGCAGTTAACCGAGATTGCACCACTGCACTCCTGCCTGGGTGACAGAGCAAGACTCTGTCTCAAAAAATAAAAAAGATTTTGACACTGTACCCATTTTGATTCCAGGGGTAACTGATGAAATCCCCAAATTCAGAGATGCCATCAGTCCCGTGTGGTTTCCCCACGCGAAAGCAATTTGTCTCCAGATGCTATGAAAATCACTACGACAGCCTTGCCTTGCCCCCACAGCACTGTACCATGCCTCAGAAACAAGCTCCACCATGAGAAATTACTACCAAGGAAAACCAATTCCAGAAGGAATTCCTGAAACTAAGCTCAAGGATGCATCTGCCAAAAGCTCAGACAGGTTAGCTAATCAACATTTACAGATGAGCAATGGGAAATTCTGCAATCATGTGGAGTGATCCATGAAATCGTCCAGGCAACTCTTAGAGACAAAGAAAAAGAAGAGAATCACTATCATTTGCAACAGGCAACGGTCCATAGGGACCCCTGGATTAAAAAAAAAAAAATCAAACCTCACAGAGATCCAACAATCAGCTAATGAGTCAAAGGCTACAACCAGTTTCCAGTGAAAAGCAATGTCAGACCATGAGGATGACAGGAAATCACCACGTTCAAAAGGACCGGACTACACAAAACCACCCATACCCCTTGAGCACTTGCCATGAAAGATCCTGGTGCCGTCTCTTTCGTTAGCCACACAGGAGGAGGCCTGCACTTCCAAGACAGTTTCAACTGAAGGGTTTACCCTTAAAGTCTCTTGAATGAAAAGAAAGAGAGGGGACAAAGCCAAGTCTGATGTCAGTAGAGAACTGACTGAAACACTGGATTGATCAAAGGACTTTAGCATCTTACAGACAGCAAATTTGATGCAGTGCACTTGGCCTTCAACACATTAACAAGCACGACTAAGAAAAAATTCAAGATCCTTGAGGCACAGGTCAAGAAACTTCAAACTGATATATCACCCGTGCATTCAAGAGCCATGCAAGGGACACCTCCTGTTGGGAAGCTTTGTCCTGCATCACTTGCAGGGATATGAGACCCTCCTCCAGCTGTCCTCGTACCAGCTGTGCAGGCTGCCGAAACACTGTTGGGACCTACAATCCCTAGAGTGACTGGTAACCACCATGCACAAAGGTGACCTGCAACTATACCAAGGCTACCGAGCACCACACCCACGGAGCCAGGATCATGCAAACCATTAGCGCCAACCCCAGCCATCACCTCATGGCAAAACCACCCAATCCCTTCCCATCTTCACTCACAGTTCCCCATCAAGTTTACCTCAGCAACACACCAAACCACATTTTTTTAAAAGTAGCTCACATTCTTAAGGTGCAGTGATCTGGGAGGGTCTGGCTCAAGAAGTACCCAAAAGTGCACACATGGTTCTGTACCTACACTACACAGATTTAATGAAGGCTCCTCCCCTAGAGCAGTCAGGCAGCACAAGACATGAGTGTATTAGGAGAGGCATTCTTCTGAGTGATACTGTTACCCAGCTTTGATACAATCCTTACAGCTGTGCTAAGGCTAGGGGAAGAGGTGAAATGGTCATCAACTTCCCCACACAGAGGTGGCAGGAAAAGATAGGAGGGGCAAGATAGAGCAAGAAAGCGGGGATATTCTCAGGGAACAATGAAGATGAAAAAGAGGCAAGTTCAAGGAAGCAGTCAGAGAGGGACAAGGGAAAAGTCTGCAAGAAAGCTTATCCTACTGACAGGCTGCCTTTTAATTTTTCCCAATTAGGTAGGTAAATGAGTACAATTATTACAGTTACCCTAAAGTGATAAAATGTGAAGCTTTGGCTCATGGAGATTTTAATGCCCATATAGCTCAAATAATCATGCCCTATCCTGTCTGCACCATATATATATATATATATATATATATATGAAAGGAAGCTAAGGCTGTCCCCAAAACATCCTTGTGATAGAAATAAGACAAACCAGGAACAGTCACGATTCAAAGGGACATCATTTTAATATCTGAAAGTAGCATACTGTTCAGCCAATAGGCATTGGTACAACCATACATACTGCTTGTTTACAGCAGGCATCCCTTCTGAGTGGTTGGCATCTGTCCTGTACCAGTTGTTAAATATTTTGAAAATCTTCTCTGTATTAAAATAATTGTGGCCCTATGAGATAGGGAATATGAAAGAAATGCAGAATTCCCTTAATATCAATGGTATTTAGAGTAAGACTAGAATACATTAGTATATTTTAAGAGTTTAAGGAATGCAAAATTCAATAAACTGATATAACCAATCCTTCACCTAATAAAGAAAAACACATTGGGGTACTTCCCACTGTACAAAGATTTTCCAAGATGGGAAACTAACGTGATAGGATTCTCTGGGTGTTGATGGGCTTGCTAGTTACATTCTGTGCACAAAGGAGGGAAAGGTTTATAAGCACTGGATCCCAAATATTTTACATTCATTGTAACATAGAAGAGAAGAGAAAACCATAAATGTAGTTTTAAATTAAATACCAAAACTAATTTCACCACTTACAGTTCATTTCCCAGTGTGACTTTTTGCATCTCAGAACCAGAATGTTTGCCAACCAAAAGAAATCCATGATGATGAAGAAACCACATGGCTGAAGGTGATTTTGGTCCATTGAACTGATGATCATTTACTACTAAGGCAGCTAAGGAGACAGTACGTAAGCACTTGGATCGCGCCAGGATGGAATTGGAATATATCCTCAAGAGACAGCAGCAAGAAGTCAAACAGTCCCGCAAAATGGGCAATAAAAACATCACATCCTCCTTTCTATTCACAAACACTATTACCAAATCTTTCCCAGATATCTAGAAAGCAGACACTATGACAAATCTTCAGGCTGGTATCTAAACTAATTCCTTCTGTTGCAATCTAAGCTCAATCTCTCACTCTATTCTCACTGAAAACCAAGAGAAGCTGTTCATCCTCACCTACTATTGATTTTCCCCAGATTCTTTTCTTATCTACGCGAAACAACTCAAATGTCCCTTCTTGGCCCTTCTATCATCCAAGGTTCTTGCCAGTTATGCAGGCTGCTGCTAGGGAGTGATGGAGATGCACCCAGGTCAGAGGCATCTTCCTGGCTGTGGTAGCAGGCACTGCCAATGCCCAGATCATGGATCTTCCTGGTAGCCGACCTCCTGACAACCTCTGGGTCTGACCAGCATCCCCCAGGGGAGGTAATCAAATCAAGGCCCAGGGCTGCCTAGGAGCCTCAGACACTAAAAACACTGGAGAGCCAGAGAGAGTTTCTTCTCTGTTACCCTCCTACTCCGCACTCCATCCTTTAAGAAAAGGGACCTCACAGAAGGACTCCTCAGTGGCAAAATGAATCCATATGGCTTGGCAGGCCAGCAGAAAATTTCAGAGAAAATGTCTGGAAAATGGGAAGCTAGGTCTTCAATGGTGGCCATTCTAAAGAGAAAAAGAAGGAAGAAGAGGAGAAGAACCAACAGGAAGTGGTCTTCTGCTTCCACATTCACTTCTGGCGACTGGTTGCTGGTATGGGGATAGCTGGATGCCCTCCAGTGCACACGAAGAATAACTGAATGCTTCGGCATGGCTTTGAGATGACCAAGGACAGGGCCAGACTTGGTCTTGCTTCTTCTCTGAGAGACTCACCATTTTCTCTGTAACCCAGAACTTCCCTGAGGCACCACACGGCCCAAATCTTCCATCCCAGCAAAGACTCTTAGTTGAAGAGACTGAATAAAAGAAGTGTTACAATTAGACGAAAAGGGAACATATGATTCATTCCTCCTTTTAACACAATACTTTGAAGATGTCACCACAATTTGGATCTGGCTATATTTTAAGTTCATTTACAAGTAGACTAGTTCTCAACTAAAAATAACCATGTGCGTTATACATTTCGACAGCTGCCTGGATTTTCCTCTGAAGGAAACAAGATTCTATATTTCACTCACATTCAGCAGAGATTCATTTTAACCCATTCCATGAAGACATAAATCACCACTACCACCCACTGGTGGCTGTGACTTCTCAATGCATTTCAGTCTCTCCTCGGAGCAGCCTCAGGAGTGAGGCAGTTAGTTATTATTATCTCCATTTTCCTGCTGAGTAAACTGAATGCCAGAAACAGTGGTCTGCCAAGTTATACATGGAATTAATAGAAGGACTAGGTCTCCTGACTCCTAGCTTTTTTTTTTTAACTAGAAAAGTTGACTTTAAGAAGGCTTCAGATTTTGTGTTCAGTTATTTACATATACTTAAATGGTATTTGAACTAAATTATTCAAGAAATTTGGGCATACAGCCTACCTCAATGCAGGCAAAAATGCCTCAAGCTCTTCCATTGTCTTCATTAACCTGATTAAGGTTGATCTATGCTATTAGCAAATGATATACTGTATTTGGTTTCAAAATAGAAAATCAGTATGGTTGGGTGCGGTGGCTCATGCCTGTAATCCCAGCACTTTGGGAGGCCAAAGAGGGAGAATCATTTGAGTCCAGGTGTTCCAGACAAGCCTGGGCAACACAGTAAATCCTCGTCTCTAAAAAAATACAAAAATGAGCCGGTGGGGGTGACATGCACCTGTACTCCCAGCTACTTGGGAGGCTGAGGCAGAAGAATTGCTTGAGGCCACATGGCAGAGGTTACAGTGAGCGGAGATTATGCTATTGCACTCCAGCCTGGGAGACAGAGAGTGATTGTCTCAAATAAACAAAAAAAGAAAGATATAAGTTACAATTTAACATTTCAAATATATTTCTCATATATAACAAGTTAAATAGGTTAAAGAATGTATCAGTACTATCAACACTATCTGAATATTTTAGCAATTTTCTTGTTTGTGTGGTTGCAGTAACCAGAGACATGCCCTTTAGATTCTGAAATGAGACTAGAAAGAAGATTAAAGGAAATCAACGGGCAAAGCAAATTTATATGCCAAAATAATCCTATCCTGACTTTGGACTTGTGTAAACAGGCTGCTTAAAAAAACACCCTGACCAAATATTTAGAAAACATTTTTACTTTTTTAAGGCTTATAGCTGTTTTTGTTGTTGTTGTTGGTTTGTTTGTTTGTTTTGAGATGGAGTCTCACTCTGTTGCCAGGCTGAAGTGCAGTAGTGTGATCTCAGCTCACTACACCCTCCATCTCCCAGGTTCAAGTGATTCTCCTGCCTCAGCCTCCCAAGTAGCTGGGACTACAGGTGCCTGCCACCATGCCCAGCTAATTTTTGTATTTTTAGTACAGACAGGGTTTCACCATGTTGGCCAGGATGGTCTCAATCTCTTGATCTCATGATCCGCCCACCTTGGCCTCCCAAAGTGCTGGGATTACAGGTGTGAATCACCATGCCCAACTGGCTTATAGGTATTCTTATGGGATTAGCGGTAGTTCCTGGAAGTGCTATTTATTAGAAAAATTCCATTTTACAACTAAAACACATTTTACCTTCAATATTGCCATTGTCAAAAGCCAGAAATAAATAAAAATCAGATGTTACAGTTCTCTTTACCTCTTTTCCTTTGCATTTCCAGAATTCATACTGAGAGCTTTCCAGACTGTGGTTTTAGGCATTTCATCAGATATATTAATCTCAGACGGGTCACATCTGAAATCAATGATTAGGACAGTGAATGTCAGACATACAAGTAAAATACATAGCACAGTCTATAATGATCACTGCCCCACCAGAAGGGAAAAGATGGGGTTTGAGACCATCCAGCCAACAGCTCTCAGGAACTCTGGGAACAAGATGGAGTCTGATCTTTCTTCTGCAGCCACTGAGGTGCAGAATGGGAAGAGGCAAGGTGACCCATGAGGTGGTGCTGAAGGCAGCCCATCCTATCCCCAGTTGTGCACTCCTCTGAAAGGCCTCATTGGAGATGCTGATGACAATGCTATGTTATCAACAGTGACGCATCAGGAACTACCACTTACTGAGCACTTGCTGTGTGCCAGGCACTTTTCATTCATTTTCCCATATACACAGCCAAATCTCTTCTATTCGTAGTTCATTAGGACTTTCCTAATATCTTAACTATCACAGCAACAGAGTTTATTAACATCCTCATCTGGAAGGTGCAGAAATGAAAGCTCTCGGAGCTAAGTGACTATCCAAGGTCAAACAACAGCAAGTAGAGAATCAAGACCTTGAACCCAGCTCTTGGTTTCCTAGAGACAGAGTAGTTTGACGTTTTCTGCAAGCCAGATTATCTCCTTCTAAAATGACAAAAGAAGAGGCAGCATCCTGTTAAAAAGGAAACATTGTTCCTACTTTGCCACCAGATAATTCAAAGCCCATGGCTCCTTTCAAAACAAACTCTAGAAAGTTTATTAAGAACCAAGACTATTATTAAGAAAAAGACTGTCCTAATTTCCCCCACAGTATAAGCCACAACGAACTCAATGATTCAGCAGTAAATTTTTCAGGATCTGAATGACCCAGATATCCTGCTCTCTTCCTTTTCTGCCCCTTCTTGACTGCTAGGCTTTTCAGCTTATGTATACCTCTTCCAACTCAGAAACAAGACTCCAGGAGTAAAACTACAAATGCACCAATTAAGCTTCCTGTCATTTGTGATGATGAATAGGTTTGATGGAGAAAGTGGCTAAAATCGTTGGCAGAAGTAAGGAATTTTCATGATCCCAGTTCAATTCCTCCTTGCTCCCAGGACTATAGATGCCACAAGCCAAGCTAACATTGACTATTTCAGCCTATCCCCAAAAGCTTGCCCAAGCATTGGAATTTCATGCCCACCAGGCTGAGAACTCTCTGGAAATAAAGACCACATCCTTTTCATCTTTGGAAGGTGGCAAAGAAAGGCAAACGAACACTGGTTTAAGGAATAGAAGAAGGACCAGGGGGTTTGAATCCAAATCTTTCTACTCAGCTTCATTATAACTTTGGATAAAATTACCTAAAACCCTTTAAGACTTAGTTTCTTCACCTGTACAAATGCGGATAGTGATATTCATATCAGTACAAGTTAACTGACAACACATAAGTAAACCTTCTAGCACAATCCCAGCACAAAAGAGGCACTCAGTACATTGGTTTTCTTACCTCTCTTCTCCTTGTGATTCCCAGAACTTGATATAGTACCTGGTATATAGCAGGTATTCGATAAACAATGAGATGGAAAAGGTATTTTCACAGGGTGGAACTGGGAGGCTGAATGTTTAGCTCTTTATGCTAGAGCTGCATTTGTGACATTGCCACCACCACAAAGCCAGAACACCTATAGAATAACCAAAAAAGTAAACTCCTTGGTGTTTGAAAGTTTTACCTGCAACTGTTGTTCTTTCCAGGACTACTTAGTAACTTCCTCCTCTCTAAGGGGAACTTGTCTCCCCCAATTTCTAACATTTTCTCAGCCTCCTGGAAGAAAAAGAAACATCATTATATCTTGGACCAAGTAAGACTGTAAGTTCACCAGCCCATTCTTCTACCACCACAGTTTCTACCTAATTTCATTTCACATTTATTATAAAGAATATAATTAGTTTCTTTCATAGATTTGAGTTATCACAAAATGAGAGACAACCAGATATTTATACATGTGAAATTGTATTAAAAAAAAAAGTCAATCTGATAAATCTCTAGATCTAATGACCAATTTACTACAAATATAGAGGACAGAAGAACATTTTAAATGACACCAAGGGAAGGAACATATTTAGCAAAATCTAAATGGCGAGAAATCCTAGAGGTTTCTTCAATTTAAAAAAAAAAAAATGGAAAGGGAACACCTAAAAAGATTTAAGAAAGATATCAACCAATTGCAATATATGGCTCTTCTTTGGATGCTAATCCAAATAACCAAATTATTAACAATAAGAAGTCTTTCCTTTCTACTATTGTAGGTTTAAAATAATCCATAAGGTAAAAGATCTCTACAAAGAGAACTACAAAACACTGCTGAAAGAGGTCAGGCTGGCCGGGTGCGGTGGCCCAAACCTGTAATCACAGCACTTTGGGAAGCTGAGGCAGGCGGATCATGAGGTCAGGAGTTCAAGACCAGCCTGGCCAATATGGTGAAACCCCGTCTCTACTAAGAATACATAAATTAGCTTGGCGTGGTGGTACACATCTGTAGTCCCAGCTACTCAGGAGGCTGAAGCAGGAGAATCGCTTGAACCCAGGAGGCGGAGGCTGCAGTGAGCTAAGATCATGCTACTGTACTCCAGCCTGGGTGACACAGTGAGACACTGTCTCAAAAAAAAAAAAAAAAAGAGGTCTGGCACGGTGGCTCATGCCTTAACCGCAGCACTTTGGGAGGCCGAGGCAGGCAGATCAATTACTTCAGATCAGGAGTTCGAGACCAGCCTAGTCAACATGGCAAAACCTCATCTCTAATAAAAATACAAAAATTAGCCAGGCATGATGGAAGGCACTGTAATCTCAGCTACTCAGAAGACTGAGACAGGAAGATCGCTCAAAACCAGAAGCAGGAAGTTGCAGTGAACTGAGATCACACCACTGCGCTCCAGCCTGGGCAACAGAGCAAGACTCCATCTCAAAACAAATGAACAAACAACACACTGCTGAGGGAAATCAGAGCTGATTTCTTTTTCAGAGAATTATCTCTGATTTCTTTCAGCAGTGTTTTATAGTTATCCTTGTAGAGATCTTTCACATTCTTGATTAGGTATATTCCTAGGTATTTCATTTCTTTGTGGCTATTGAAGTTGGGATTGCATTCTTTGTTGGACTCAGCCTGGGTGTTATTAATACATAGAAGTGAAAGGGCAAAGGATATGAACAGACACTTCTTAAAAGAAGACATACACATGGCCCACAAACATGAAAAAATGCTCAACATCATTCATCATCAAAGATGCAAATCAAAACCACAAAGAGACTCCATCTCACATCAGTCAGAATGACTATTATTAAAAAGTCAAAAAATAACAGACATTGGCATGGTCATAGAGAAAAAGGAGCACTTCTACACTGTTGGTGGGAATGCAAATTAGTTCAGCCCCTGTGGAAAGCAGTTTGGAGATTTCTCAAAGAACTAAAAATAGAACTAGCGTTAGACACAGCAATCCCAGTACTTGGTATACGCCCAAAGGAAAATAAATTGTTCTATCAGAAAGACATCTGCACTCATATATGTATTGCAGCACTATTAACAACAGCAAAGAAATAGAATCAACCCTGGTGCCCATCAATGGTGGATTGAATAAAGAAACTGTAGTACATATACACCATGGAATACTACACAGCCATAAAGAGAACAAAACCATGTCTTTTGCAGCAACGTGGATGCAGCTGGAGGCCATTACCCTAAGTGAACTGATGTGGGAACAGAAAACCAAATAATGCATGTTTTCATTTGTAAGGGGGAGCTAAACATTGGGTACACATGGACACAAAGATGGGAGCAAAAAACAATGGATTCCAAAAGGCGGGAGACAGGGGAAGGGTTGTCAGGTACTATGTTCACTACTTGGGTGACAGGATCATTAGAAGCCCAAAGCTCAGCATAACTCAATACATCCATGTAACAAACCTGCACAGGCCCTGAATCTAAAATAACTTTTTTTAGAAATCCATAATAAAATGTTTTCTTAGAAAATAATCCCACTAATTTGAAGAAAATAATTACAGAGAAAAAGCTATCTGTACAAAGATGTTTAAAGGAATATAATTAATAATAAAACCTAAAACAACTAAAAGTTTTAACAAAAATATTGAAATTAAATATGAGATAATACTATAGAACATTATACATCCATCTAAAAATCATGATCATGATATAGACAAATAGAAACATGAAAGTGTCTTATGAAATCAGGTTGAGGGGAAAAATCAGAATATATATGTGCTATATATATGAACTCACAATTATATAATTATAGTTATATGAAAACTATGTTAAAAAAACTGAAAATAACATAAATGAACATAAATGTTGGATATGAGGTGGAGAAATTTTAGGGGACAAGTCTTCATCTTTTATTTAGCTTTTAAAATAATTTTATAAAGTAACACAGGTGTTAACAAATATGTGCTTACTTCAGGAATTTTGGAAAATAAGGAATGTAATGTCTAACAGCCACCTCGAACTTAACATCCAAAGGAGATCTCTTGATTTTCCTCCTAAACCTGCTGTTCTCCTTGGTCTTCCTCATCTTAATAAATAGCACAATCATTCATTCGATTGTTCAGTCCAAAAATCTAAGAGTCATACTTGATTCCTCTTTCACTCATACCCACCATCATTAGCAAAACTGTCAGCTCTATCTTCAAACAAGTACCAAATTCAGGCACTTTCAGCACCTCTCCTTAGCCTAAGCCACCTTCCCTTTTGCTTGAGCTGCTGCCAGCCTCCTCCTAGCTGGTCTCCCTGCTACCACTCTGTCCCTTCCAGCCTTACTAGATGTCTTGGTGTTCCTCAAACACACCAAGCTCATTCTTCCCTTCAAGACCTTTGTGTTTTCTGTACTCCTGGCCTGGAATGTTCTTACTCCCAGATATTCTCATGATTTGCTTCTCACTTTATTCAGTCTCTGCTCAGATGTCTCCTCAAAAGTGTCATCTCTAATCACCCTAAACAAAGTAACTCCCTCACTCCTACCTTCTTAAAGCATATCACTACCTAAAGTTATATATATATGTATAAAAGTATAGCACTATAACCAAGAAAACAAATATATATTTATTTCTTTGTTTATGGTGTCTTCTCCATGAGAATGTAAGCTCCATGGGGTCGGTCAGGGACTCTTGCTGTGTATACTACTGTGTCTGGAACAGTGACAACAGACTAAGGATTCAATAAATATGGAAGAAAGAAGGAAATTAATCAAAAAATGCATAATCTTACTGCCTAGAAAGATATAGAGAGCCAGAATAAACATTTTGATCTATTTTCTTCCAATCTTTTTCGGGTGTGTGGGGGGGGTGGGTGTGCATGCATACATGCATGTGTGTATGTGTGTGTTTGTATGATATTTGTATATGTTTTAGTAAAAGTGAGATTGACATTCTTACTGTATGCTCCATTTTATATTCTCTATGTTTTTCATATAAAATGTCAGAAACATGTCCACATATCTTTTCTTTATTTCTTTTTTTTGAGACCAAGTCTTGCTCTGTCACCCAGGCTGGAGTGCAGTGGGGTGATCTTGGCTCACTACAAACACCACCTCCTGGGTTCAAGTGATTCCCCTGTCTCAGCCTCCTGAGTAGCTGGGATTATAGGCGTGCGCCAACATGCCTGGCTAATCTTTTTGTATTTTTAGTAGAGACGGGGTTTCACCATGTTGGCCAGGTCTCGAACTCCTGATCTCAGGTGATCTGCCTGCCTTGGCCTCACAGAGTGCTAGGATTACAGGTGTAACCCCACGTCAGTCTCTGGAGTAGCTGGGATTACAGCACATATCATTAAGAATTTTTTAAAATTTTATTTTTAAACTGTTGTACAACATTCTATTGTAAAATATTTACTCTAATTTTTCTTTTTTCTTTATGCCACCGCAATTAAAATATTTTGTCTACATTGCTAATTATATCCTCAGGGTAAATTTAAATGTTAGAGTTACTGGGCAAAAGGGCATATACATTTTTAAGACTCTATGGTTAAAATGCCCTCTAAAGAGATACATGCAACTTATATTACCATTTTTAGGGTATGAGAAGTCTATTTGAATTACAGTCTTGCCAACGCTTGCTTTTATCTTTTAAAAATCTCTGTCAATTCGACAAGTAAAAACATGTATTCTCCTCGTTTAAATTTTCATTTCTTTTTTATTTTTTACACTTGATGTTAGCTAAAAGGCCAAGAAGCAACCTCTTTTTTTATTTTTTAATACTGATTTTCATTTCATAAAATCCAGATGCTGCACAATCATTTATTTGATTATTAGTAAGAATGAAATTTTTGTCGTAAGGCAACTGGCTATTTGTACTTCTTCTTTTGTAAATTATATATGTCCATTGCTCATTTCAAATTCATATTATTGTTATTAATTTATAAGAATTATTTGAATAGTAATAATATTAGCACATGTCTCAACTTATCTGTTATTTTAAAATTTTGTTTACAGAGCTTTGGATGCCTGAAAGCATCACATTTTACGTAATGAATTCTATCAATATTCTCTTTAAAGTTTTCTTCCATTGATTTTATATTTTACAATTGTTGAAGCTTATTTAGAAATACAAAGTTTTTAAAGTTCAAGATATTACGGGAAAAAAAGTCTTTTTTTTTCTCAAGATAGGCTCTCACTCAGCATAGGCTGAAGTGCAGTGGCATGCTCACGGCTCGCTGCAGCCTCTACCTCCTGGGCTCAAGGTAACCTTCCACCTCAGCCTCCCAAGTAGCTGACTACAGGCATATGCCACCACATCCAGCTAATTCTTTTGATTTTTTTCTGTAGAGACAGAGCCTCATTATGTTGCCCAGGCTGGTCTCAAACTCCTGGCCTCAAGTGATCCTCCTGCCTCAACTCCCAAATCCCTGAAATTACAGGGATAAGCCACTGTGCCTGGCCTACAAAAAGTCTTTTAAAAGTTTTTTCAAAGGACACTATTTTAGGCACTAACTGTATTTGGAAACACTTCCCAGCTCACTCATTTCTTAGTCTGGTGTTTTCATTTTGCTACATTTTCTTTCTTTGTATATATAGGCCATTTATTGAGGGTCCATTGTGTAGATGACAAGATGACAAGTGCTGAGGGAAATGAAAAAAGACAGAAAGTCCTATGCAAGTTATCTTTGCATGGTGCCAACCACAGCACCATTTGCATTTAGATACATTACAAACATTCTAGGAAATAATGGGTTTTATATATTTGTCAAATTAGACCTTTTGAAAGAATGGGAGCCATTGAATCTGCTAATAAGCCATGAATCTGCATATCATATATTCACATTCTAGGTATGAACCTGATGAGTTGGTTGTAGACAAAGGAAAAAATAACTGGTTGTCAAACCCAAAAAAGGAAGTACAGACAGGAGCAAGAATCCCTAACCCATTCTTAGCTGAGAACAACTTTGGGGTAATCTTCCCAGCTCCTAAATATAACCCTTGGGATTTCAGACATGCTGGCTTTTCACGTGACCCTTCCTATGGTCTGTAATTTGAGGGTCCCAGGTATACAGTTGGTGCAAGGACTACGACCTCTTCCTCTTTGGCCTTCTTTTTGGCGTCATCCAACTTCTTCTTTTTGCTTTCAGGCATGAGATCATCTAACCAGCTCAGCTCTCGCTTAGAGAAACAGAGATCCATGACTTTCCTGACAAAAACCAAGGCCAAAACCTGAAGAAAAATCAAGAAAGAAAGTGAATGAAAGGGACTAATTTCCTTCCTGGGCTTAAAAGCAAAGCCTTATTTTCATGGCAGACTAGGACAGTTCAAGCAAAATCAAACTCATGATAATCATAAGAGTCACCATTTATTGAATGCTTTCTTTGTGCCAGGTACAATATGTTATATACAGTATTTTACCCATCATCATAACAGCCCTACAACTTAGAGAGCAGCTATCTGGATTCCATCATTGAAAAGAGGAGCTCATCATCTGCAGATGGTTAGGGGTCAGCAGCAAGGCTACAGGACAGCAGAGGGGTAGAAAGCCTCTTCAAGCGCTGGGCCATGGTGGGACCAGCCACAGCCAGCCCAAGCATGCCTCACAGTGGGATGATGGGTTCTTAGAGGATCATCTTTATTCCCTCTGATCCTTTGCCTATACATTCCCCTATGCAAATCCTTGCTTTGGGCCTGCATCATGTGTCTCTAGGGGTTTTTGTCTCTGCTCCCTGGCCTGGCCTGACACTCACTTTATAAATGAGGAAACTGAGGCCCAGAGAGAGAAAGTGGCTTGCCTAGAATCTGACAGCTGATTTCCCCAGTAAGGGCAGGTCCAGGGCATCCAAACTGCTGCTCTACTTTCTCATGAGGGCCATTTTAGCCAAAGGAAAACAGAATTAACACTGTCTGGGTGGACTGGTGTTCATCAGCTATACCTGGTGACTGGACAGGGAATGAGGCAATTCACGCTTATTAAACTCAGGTACATTTCTCTCTAATGATAGTGACTATTTTCCTAATACATCTGGAATTGATAGGATCCCTTCTATGAGTTCCCAGTAATTTGCTATTTTTTAACCCATGAACATAACACACAAATGCAAAGCCTTGTATGTATTCTGACAAAATTGAGAAACCCACCAGGAGGGTGTGGATCTAGAGGATTAGAAAAAAATTAAAGATAAAATTTCCATATGATCCAGCAATTCCACTCCTGGTATTTACAACAAAGAATTGAAAACAGAGATACAAACAGATATTTGTACACCCATATTTGCAGCAGTATTACTCACACTATCCAAAAGGGAGAAGCAACTCAAGTGCACATCAACAGGTGAATGGATAAACAAAATGTGGTATATGCATACAGTGGAATACTATTCAATCTTAAAAAGGAAGGAAATTCTGACACATGTTACAACATGGATGAAGCTCGAAGACATTAAGCTAAATGAAATCAGCCAGTCACAAAAGGACAAATTCTGTGATTCACTTATATGATGTGCCTAGAATAATCCAATACACAGAGACAGTAAGTAGAACGGTGGTTGCCAGAGGCTGGGGATAGGGGAGAATGGGGATCTGGTGTTTAATAGGTGCAGAGTTTCAGCTTTGCAAGATGTAAAAAGGTCCAGCGCTAGAGGGTGGTAATGGCTCCACAGCAATGTGAAGGTACTTAATGCCACTCAACTCTACACTTAAAAATCGTACATTTTATAGTTAGAACATTTCACTACAATTTAAAAAATAACAATGATAATAATAATTTATTTTTTTAAAACCACCTCACCATCATTGGGAAAACAATGGCGGCTGGAGAGGCCTTGATGACCCAGAGCAGGACGAGACAGGTCAGCTGAATGAGGGTGAAGAGGTGCACTTTGCGCAGTGGCACATGCCGCAGGTAGATAAAATCTGGCTGGTGCTTTGCGGGCATCCCAAAGAGCTTTAGACGATCAAAGAACTGAAAGGAAGGAACTGGCATTTATTTTCAGGAGGACTCTCTGGGTCAGAAGCCTTGTTAGACCCATTCATGTCTCTTACATCACCTGCTCTGAAAGGCAGTTCACACCATTTCCACTGGACAGAAATGGAATCTGAGACTTTAAAAGACCAGGCAATTTGGCCAAGGTTAGTAAGCGGCAAAGTCAAGATCTGAATCCATCTTTTCTAATGCTAGGTTCAAACTTTTTTCTCCTATCCCACTCTGTGGCTCCTAAGAGAGCTCTTTCTCAGGGAATGTTGAAAACAAAATAAGCCAATTACATCTTTTTGCTTATTATCAAAACCAAATCTCTTACTTGTTCTTTTAGGAGTTTGGAGCTATTCATTGATTATTTATAGTGAAGAGATAAAGTGAAACTTCTTAACATCCTAGATACAGAAAAAATGATCATCCTTACAAAAAGGTAAAAAGAAAACCAGAGATTAAATAATCTGCCCAAGTTCATATTAGAACTCAGTATATAAAAATGGCCATTGGACATTCCATTCGAACAAAGAATAATCAGCCTAATTTATTATATTGTCTGGAGTACCCAAGTTATCAATGGCAAGCTCCTCATTTTTCTGTTTGAAAGACTTAGCGCAATGAGTTGACAGATGCAAAAATGCAGAGTATAACAGGAAGTGACATCTGCTTACCAGGAGCAACTCCCACTATTCCCCCATCTCTTCTGCCAATGTACCCCCAAAGTTAAACACCCCATTTTTACACTTTAGCCTGGCACTAACCTAGATCTGTCTATGAGTGAAAGCCAGTTTGGTTCTTGATCAGCCTTTCAGATTCAAGCTTACCGGCACCTGGCAAAGTACCTAATATTTAATACATGCCAAAAAATTGTCTGTTAAATAATTAATGAATGACGGGAGCCATGACTTCAAGCCAAGCCACCCTGGAAGGCTCTGTACTCTCCTGCCAACATGACTGTTGTTTTCCCTGTATTCAAATAAGTGTCTAAAATAGCCTAAGTGGCAAGACCAGGAAATAATTTTATCAAGAACTAGTTGTGCTTCTCTAGGGGAGCTGTCCCTCCCGGGACAGGATATGTGAACCTGCAGTGAGAAGAAACTACCCTGACTGAACCACACAATACCTGAATTCCCTGTAGTGAAGAAACTCCCATGTAGAGGAAAACTCCATAGAGTACTGGCATTGGAATAAACTGAAGATAAAAAGACAAGAAAGGCCAGAAATTAAATTTGGTGTCATAGTACACTGAAAACTATATAAACTTTTAAACCTCCAAGAATGAAACAAAGTCACAAAATACCTGCAGAAACCGTTGCATTAGTGATTTAGGAGTAGAAGCAAAAGCAGAAGCTGACAATGATAAAAATCATTTTGTTCTGAAATAAAATGATTACATGTAAGTTAAATCACATGCCTCCCATCTCAGCTGTCTGGCCCTTCCTCCTCCATGGGGATGGGCACACATACACATACACATAAACACACATACATACACGCCCCTTTCTTATAATGCCTTTTAAATCTTCTGATCTCACAATCATCTCCTCAAGGATTTGATGTATTTTAACATGAACCAAAAAAGTTTCCTTTTTTACTGACCAGTGGCTTGAGGGCAGGGGTGGGGAGGTATCTTATCAGAGAGGGAAGGTTTAGGGAGGGATAAACACCGACATAATTATATTGCACTTGAAGATCCACACAGTATTTGAGTATGACTTTCTGATCACATCATGTCTGTCAACCTAAATAATCTTCAGATTGACTCTGAGGTAGGGAAATTGGGCCTAGAGAATCAAGGCAAGGAAAGTCTAGGAGACGAAAACTAAATTGGACTTGTTTTTATTCTAGCGCTAAAGAATATTCTCAAACCTAATTCTTAGAATTAGAAAATCCCTCAGCAAACTAACACAGGAACAGAAAACCAAATACCACATGTTCTCACTCATAAGTGGGAGCTGAACAATGAGAACACATGGACACAGGGCGGGGAACATCACAAACTGGGGCTTGTTGTGGGTGGGGGGCAAGGGGAGGGAGAGCATTAGGACAAATACCTAATGCATGCAGGTCATGAAACCTAGATGATTGGTTGATGGGTGCAGCAAACCACCATGGCACATATATACCTATGTAACAAACCTGCACATTCTGCACATGTATCCCAGAACTTAAAGTAAACTTTAAAAAAAAGAAAGAATTAGAAAATCCCCCATTGGATTTTATGTTCCAGCTGTAGAGTGACTAGACATCCCAGCTGGATGCTGTTTGTGGAACTACTGAATAGTTGTCCTAAGAGAATTGTCCTGAAGCAGTTAGAGAAAGGCCCGGTGATGGCCACTGCCCGCCTTCTGGGCTCTATCGTGGAGAAGCAGCAACATTTGGGCTCTTCCAGATGGTGCCTTGACCAGGTGGGAGTGGGAGCTAGGCTGGGGACAGGGAATATGAGGGGAAAGGGGCGTGAGGAGAGGTGGGTGGTAAGGTTGAGTGGAAAGTGAGGGGACAGGAAGACAGTTCAGAAATCCTTCCCATCCCTCAGTTCTCACTCTTGAAGGGCATTTGTGGTACAGGCTGGGGTGGTTGAAGGTTTGCCAAAAAGAAGGAAAGAGGAGGCAAGGGAGACAAGGCAGTGCTCCAGAATGGTTGGTGCCTGGTAATACAGCCAGAGAGTTTCCTTCTCACCCCAATCTCCCAGATGCAGGCCTTCTACCCACAAAACATTTTTTTAATGTTCAAAGCATCCTCTATCTGTACCAAAAAAATAAAATAAAATAAACAGTCTCTCTTTTAGCCCCACTTCTCATACTAGCCACTGCCATTTTTCCATTCTGCTTAGCAGAAAAACCTCTTGAAAGATTTGCCTGCACTTGTACTCTTTACTTCCTTATCTGCTACTCACTCTTTAGCCACCTATAATTGGATTTCTGCCCTATAGTTCCACTGAATTCCTTCTCTGGTAAGATACCCCTAACTCCTGCCTCAAGTCACTGGACAGTAACATAGTTTCCAGGTTAAAACACACTAAATCCCTAAGGATTTGGAAGATTTTGAGATTATGGAAGATTTAAAAGGCACCATTTCTGTTAAAGAGGGGTGTGTGTGTGTGTGTGTGTGTGTGTGTGTGTGTGTGTGTGTGTGTGTCTGCCTGCCCATTCCCAGATAGGGGTGGAGGAAGAGCCAGACATGGAGGCCTGTGATTTAACTTACATGTAATCATTTAATTTCAGAACAAAATAATTTTTATCACTGTCAGCTTCTGCTTTTGCTTCTACTTCTAAATCACCTACAGGCAGCAGAAACTAATGCAATCCACTGACTCTGCTCTTGTCAAATGACCTGAGGCCTCCAGTGTTGCTAAACCCAATGGCCTTGGCTTAGTCTTCATCTTCCTAGACATCTAACCAATCCCTCTTTCTTGAAACACTTTCCTTACTTGGCTTCCCTGATACCACACCCTCCTAGTTTTCCTCCTACCTCTCTGGCAGCTCCTTCTGAGACTCTGTTGCTATCTCTTCCTCTATCTAACCTCTAACTCTGCTCTTCTCTTATGTCCCACTTCTCTTTCTGTCTACTTTTTTCCGAGTTCTCTCATCTATTCCCTTGGCTTTCCAATACCACCTACGTGCTGCTGACTCCCAAATTTATATTTTAATCTGGAACCCTCCTCTAGGCTTTTCACTTAGATAACTCCCAGACATCTCATTCCAAATCTGATCACAGTCCCAACCCTCACAAAAATCATACAGTCTTTTCCATATTAATAAATGCCACAACTTTGGGTCTGCCTCCAAGCTATACAGAGGCCATGTCTTTTTATCTGTCCCTGCTACCAGCTTCCTTATTCAAGCCACCATCATCTGTCACCTGCAACAGCCTCACTGGTCTGTCTGCTTCTATTCTTCCCTAGATATCAGCCAGAGTGATCTTTTTAAACTAGCTGGATCATGTCCCTCTCCTGCTAAAACCCTTCAAAGGTTACCTTGCCCACTGTCGATAAGGCCCCACATGATCTGTCCCTCCCCCTCTTTCCTTCTCATCGCACTGTGCTCTTGCCTTGATTCAATGCCCATGAGCCACACGGCCCTGATATTTTGTAGAACGTATATTACTCTTTCCCACCTCAATGACTGACTAGACCGCTCTTCTCCCCTCCCTCCGTGCCACCTCCCACCATCCATAGTGTGGCTGGCTCCACCTCACCTTAAATAGCATCTCCTCAGAGAGGCCTTCTCTGACCATCCTAACTAAAAGAGACCCCTCTCCATTCTCTTTAGCACCAGAAAGCACAGTGTATTTCCTTTATATCACCTATCACATTCTGTAGTTGTCATGTTTGTTTTCTTAACTAATTTTCTTAACTAAACGTTATCTGTCTTACCCCTCTAGAATAAACTATTTCAGGGCAGAGATTTTTATGTGTATCTGTTTGGCACCACTGTATTTCCAGCACCTGGCAGGATTCCTGGCACATATCAGGCCCTTGGTATTTGCTGAATGTGTGAAGGGATGATTACCTTTAAGATAGCCGTCATGAAGACTGAGCAGCCCATCAGCACAAAGATCATAAGGCCTGTCACTCTCTGTTCTCGGATGCCTAGGAACTTGGGCTGTTCTCCAGGAGCAGAGCATTCAGATTCTAGCTTGAGGCTGTTCACATGTGTGATGGACAAGACGGTTGCAGCTACAAACCAGGGCAGGCCCATAATGGAGCAGACACCCAGCATGATTGCCACCATCAGTAGGTCCAGGTGGTAGCCACAGCCTTTCTGTGGGGAAACAGAGTCTCTGTCACCATTGGTAGGCTAGCTGTAGTGGGGCACGGAACAGTGAGTTAGGGGTCTCAGGCCCAAAGCAGGAAGGGATGTATGGATAAGAAAAAAGGGGCTCAGGGATTCAAGAGGAGTCCTGTAGCCCCTCCTGGTTAGGAGGAAACAAAGAAGAAAAAGGGGAATCTTAGCCTGTCCTATATATGCCAATATTCATTCTTTTTCCAAGTGTCTCCAGCTTACTCTGTCTTACACATTCAAGGATCCATTCTTCTCTGGAAGAGTAACCAAAGATCATGCCATATCTTGAGCATTCTAGATGGTAGAAACTATAGAAATTGGAGATAAATGTCCTTATTGGCTTCGTACTACATGCTCCCAGATCCTTGACAGATTTGGATGTTGCTTGCCTGCTCTGCTACCCTCCTAGGATCCTAGGGTTCAAGTTTCCATCTAGAAACTATAGTAACAAATATCAACGAAAGATTATCTGCCTCTAGGAAACAGTGGCCCAGGCCCCTACCTGAATGAACCTCAGGAAGACAAGCTGTACAGTTGCTTGACCCAAAGCATAGAGCTATATAGGGACCATCAGGAACTCCACCCAATCACCTTCTCCATAGGTGTGAGAGGAGAATAATGAAGTCCACGTTTCTTTCATACCATACCACCATGCTCCACTCTAGTCTCATCTCCAAAGCAATCTTGGTTATTAATGGAGGGAATGGAAACCCCTTTTGAACCCCTTCTATGAAGTGTTTTTATCCAGATTCTACAGTTTCTGGTCTAGATGACCTTACCCTAAAAAAAAAAAAAAAAAGTAGCAGGTGGCCATAGCAGTCTTCTAGGTCAGAGCGTCTTTTTACCTTGAGCTTATGTTCCTTTCTGTTAATAATGACGGCTGTGATCTGCTGATCCATGAATATCAAGATAGTGCAGAGAAGAGCTGGAATAATTGCAGCTATCACAGTCCACCAGGGATTGGGGCCAATGGGATTAATAATCCATCCTCGATCATCCCTTGTTGGCTAAGGGGGAAAAGATACTATTTTTGTATTTTAAGTTAACTATAGTCATTAGAGTAAAATATATCAAACTTAATCATAATATCCATATTTCTTTTTATTCTTGAGACAGGATCCTTTAAAAAAAAAAGGCATGAAATACATACAGCAACTCCTTAGGAAATCTGTGACCTTGTTCTGAAACCATTCCCCAAAGAGTTAAAGACACCAATGACTAACAGAAATTCTTGGTTTTACAGGATGGTAGATAAGAAAAGAAACAACTTGCTGAAACCCCCTTGGCACATGGGACCAGAGGTAGCATGAAGAGATAAATATGAATGACTGGGGACTTTTCAGACCTCCCCTTTCCTTCTACCAATCATCTACTATCCCAGAATCCACCCCCAAAACCTTTTCCTAATTATTTCAGTAAAGCCGGTGCAGGCAGACAGATTTGAGCTGAATTCCTATCTCCTTGTTAGTAAGCTTGAAATAAAAAGCTTTTCTTTTCTCAAAAACCTGGTATCATAGTACTGGCTTCTAGCACATTGGGCAGCAAGCCCCTTTTGCTCAGTAGTACTTCCAAATCCCCTTTGAAACAGTCAATCTTTAATTATCAATTTCTTGTGAAATATTCATTAATCCTGCACTTCCTTCTACTTACTTCCCAAACCTCTGGGTAGAGAAAAAACAACTGTATCTCAACATTAACCTAAGTAACATATAATTAACAACTGTATGTGTTGTCAAAAAATTGAATGACTTCCAAAAACAAATATAAATAACTTAGACTATTCTCCTACTACTTCTCTCCAGAGCCATATAATGTGTGTCTACAGCATAAAAAACGGCAAAGTAGAGCCATCTGCATGGAATCTCTTGGGCTTAGATTAGACTGGATTGCTCCAAGGGCCTTTCCCCATCTGTAGTCAAACAGGGGTCCAGCCATCAGAGACTTGAAAAGGAGTCTAAGATTGCTAAAGTTGAGTGTTTCTTTGACCTAGGATCCTCTCCAATGCCCTGTAATAAAACTGTCTATAAATCTTATTGGAGTGTTCATGACATGTCTAAACTCACCTAGATCCTTACCCCACCCCTGCAGCGTACTCTGAGGAAGACAAGTTTGCCCTGTTTTGGTAAGTGGTGCTAGAGGATAAAAGGTCAGGGATACCAACTGGCCCAGAGATGACTCAAACTCAAGAAACAAAGCATAGACTGTTATATTTGATTTGGTTCCTTATTAGTCATGTCTCTAGGATCCAAAGACTAATAACACCACCAAGTCCAAAATTATGAATGGGTTAGCTTCTAAAAGTTTACAGAATCTATGTTTTCTTAGTAACAATGCTGTAAGTGGTAGTTAAGTTCTCGGACCAACACAAAAACTTATTAAATAAATCCTTAATGACCTTATACCCCTAGTAATAGTACTAGCCTTCAGATTGGGTCTTGGGAGTTGAGTGCCATGTGGTATAATAGGGAGGGAAAGGAAGAAGGAAACTTTTTCTCTGTGTCCTGAAAATGGAGCCCGTCATGAGCAGCATTTTCTTTGACATTCTCCCATTTCCCTTTCTCCCTGTTCTACCTCCCAGAGGCCTTCTTCACAGATGTCCCAGAAATTCAGTGCCTTCTGGCTATCCTAAGCCTATCCCTTAGGGAACCTTTCCAAGGACTGTTTAATGTTCCCAAATTACCTATTTTTACACAAAATCCATTCCTCCTGCAGTGCTGACCTCAGCTAGGTATTAGAGAGAAAGCTGATTGTGCTCATTCACACAAAGGCGAGAATGCCATATTCTAGAAGGCATTATACTTACAAGAGGGATTGGTTAGTCCATAAACTTCCAACTGGTGGCATTTCAGCAAATTCAACAAAATTAAATTTTTTCAGAAAATATGGAAGAAGATATTTCAACAGGCCTACTTCACGGGTAGAAAGAAAAAAGAGAAAGCAAAGGGACAACTGAAGGGAGCATTTACAAGTCAGGGACTGCCTTTATACCTGTTGGCCTTCTCCTCACCAACTTCTCCCATCTTCCTACTTTATCATCCTTCCTAAGTCACTGAGTATTCCGAAGGTTTTCTCTCCTCTCCGCTATGGGGATCTATGGAACTGAGCTCAGCTTTTCTATCTTCTTTGTTGACTGTCAGTGCTCTCAAACAAATCAATTTGGAGCCCTCATGTATTGATCATTTGTTTTACTTTTTGTATAGGTTCTTATATAAAATACTGTATATTAGAGAGAAGTATAGTTTGTAATATACATAGCATAAAATACTACATATTAGAGAGAGTTATACAACAGCAAAATCAGATAGAGATGACTTCAATGTCATGATTACTCTGCCAGGCGTCCTAGACTCCTGACAAGGCTCTTCTTAGATCCATTCTCCTCCTACAAGGAAGGGGCACCATCCTTGAAGGCTCGGGCCAAGCCTTGACCTTTTCATCCTCCCAGTGCCCTTATACAGCCGATGCTCAGTGAAAGTGCTGTTGCTTGTTCCAGAAACCCACGTTTTCAGAGTGTCCTGAATATATTTATGTAAATGTGCACATTCCATTGTTTACATATTAACATATTAAGAATAAGTGGTATTCATAATAATAATACTTTTCATTCATTAAACAACCTTGATTTTTATGTTCTCTGGCTTTTCTGACTTGAACTCAGCTAAGTCTGAAGTTTGCTTTTCTAAACGACAAGGTATGAGGAGTAAGGTTCAGATTTAGAGGACAGCAAAACTCGTGATTAGGATGTGAAAAGGCCTTTGAAATTAACTTGGCATTAGAGTGTATGAAATTATATGAGTGTACCAAGCACTCTGAGATCTGTTTACCTTGAACACACTGGGAACTTGAAGCTTTGGTGATGGAACGCCAATCAAAAAATCAATAATCACCATTGTGAAGATAGTGAGGAAAACAGCAAAGTCACTCACCATGGAACGTACCTGGCATGAGAAAGAATTGGAAACGTGTTTTGGCAGGTTGAATAAAGTAGAAAAGAGGTTAGTTTTGTAAAAGGCTTAAAAATCCTCAGAAGAATGTTTTCATCTTAGAGTTGAATTAACGCAAGCAAATTTAAACAACAGGAATATGTTAATTGCCCAATTAATGCCCACAAAGTATTGAAATGATGAGGCAAAATGAACCCTCTCACAAATGCTAGCATAACCCAGACCAGCCTCTGAAGAGTTCTGTTTGGGGCATTTAGGGCCAGGATGAGACTCTAGTTCTGGGAACTTGGATTTTCTGGGACCAGCCAAGGTCCTCAGTGCTAGCCAAAAACCTCAGCAGCAGCAGCAACTCCACTTCTCCCTCATACCCAATATCCAGTCTTTTTGCAAGTCCTGTTGGCTCTCCCTTCAGAACATATCCAGAGTCTGATCACTTCTTACCACCTCCACTGCTCCACCCAGATCCAAGTTATCATCAGCTCCTGTTTGGGTAACGGTAGCAGCCTCCTAACTTGCTTCTGCCTTTGTCCTCCAGCCCTGTAGTTTTTTAAATGCAGCCACTGGAGTAATCATTTGAAACACAAGTTAGGTCATGTCACTCCTGTATCAAAACCCTGAAATGGCTTCTGGTCCAAAAGGCCTTCTTGGCCTATGCAGCTCACACAGTTGGCATCATCACATCTCCCACCCCAGCTCCTATTGCTCTCCTTCTTGTCCACTCTGCTCCAGACACACAGACTGTCTGTCTTGCTGTTTCTTAAACATGCCAGGCTCATTCCCACCTCAGGGTTTTTGTACTTGCTCATGCCTCTACCTAAAATGCCTTTCCTCCAGGTAACCACTTGGGTAGCTCTCTCGTCTCCTTCAGGTTCAACTCAAATGTCACCTTCTCCTTGAGCTCTTCTCTGATGATCCTACTTAAAATTGGCCACCTCCCTCCACCCCAGCACTCCCTGCACTTCTTTACTACTTTGTTTTCCTCCACAGCACATATCTTTATTTTGTTGGAGATTCCCATCCTATTTAGGATCCACCTTGAAAGGACTGTCTCACTTTATAGTGTGGCTTCAACAAAATGCAGTGCCTGGCAAATACTGGTGCTTGCCTTAATCTGAGCTTTCAAAAGAGTGAGATCAAAATATATCTTAGCCATACGTAATATCACTGGTACCTTAACCTGACTTCACTTTGCTTTGAAGCCTAAGGTTTCCAGCTCCTCCTCCACAGTTTTGTTAGTTCTCTGAATGTAATATGCATTCTCTGAGTATCCACTACCTCCCCATCCCCAATATGAAGCCCACTTGACCATTCTGGGGCCCACTGGCCCTTTTCTCCTCTGAACTCCTATGGCACATGCCCAGGTGGGCATCCAACTATTTACTACTGTTGCATATGGCACCTGTTTCACGTGTTTTTCCTTCCTATCTGATAACAGTTACTATCTTTTAAATTTCTGTTGCATCCCCCTAGCACTTAACCCAGGCCTGAGAAAGTAGTCAGTACCAAATAGCCACTTGTTAACTATTTGTCCTGATAGGAAACAAAGACCTAGAACTTATTTAATATGTGCCTCCCATGACTACCATGCAGGCTCACTGAAGTCTAAGAATGTGTTCTAGTCATATATACATGTACAGTAAACATCTAATTAACTGAGTTCCCCTCCCATTTATTTACCCTGTATTGAAAATGTGTCTGGCTGAAACCTCACTTAAAGGAAAAACTACCATTTCCTTCTGCTTTGAGCTCCCTTTCTTTTCTCTCTTTTTTTTTTTTTTTTTTTTTTTTTTTTTTTTTTTTTTTTTTTTTTTTTTTTTTTTGTGAGAATAGCTTTTAATTTAAAACGTTTGAAGCAATAAATCATCTCTCTTTCCATCACAGGCAAATACTCTCCCCTCAAAATTTGATGTAGTTTAAACAGCAACTGTGTAGTGCAAAAGGAAACAAATACAATCTCTTTCAGGAGGCAGCATCAAAACCTACTGGGCTGGTGGGCGCTGACAACAGGCTAAGCCTCCACCAAGGGTGAGAGAAGCAGCACACTGAGAGCAGCAAGACTTGCATAGTATTTCATCCAGCTTTGAACAGATTCAACAATATCTGGGTTGGGGGAACCACAAAAGAATGATGCCTAAAATGAAACAAATATGCGCAGCTCCCTTATGTGGCTAATATCCTTGGCACCTGGAAGACGGTAGGAAAATAAGTGCAAAGGTAGCAACTCCCAGGCAAAGCTGAGGGAAGACAGTTTGAGGCTCATTTGCTTTTGTTTTTTAATTGGGGTCTTATACAGTGGTTTTTAGGCAAAAAAATTTTCTGCTTCCTGGGAGGTGTTCTGTGCTACACAGTGCTCCTGATGCCAGCAAAAATATTTGTGTTGTTTCTGTCCATTTGAATGCTTTGCCAAATTACCTTTCCTATCTATGGTATTTCACTGCCTACCCCATACCATGTAAATGTAGAGTAGCATGTCCAATAGAAGTACATTAGCCAGGCCAGCCACGGTGGCTCACACCTGTAATCCCAGCACTTTGGGAGGCCGAGGTGGGTGGATCACTTGATGTCAGGAGTTGAAGACCACCCTGGCCTACATAGTGAAACCCCATCACCACTGAAAATACAAAAAGTAGTCCAGGTGTGGTGGTGCACGCTTGTAACCCCAGCTACTTGGGAGGCTGAGGCAGGAGAATCACTTGAACTCAGGGAGGTAGAGGTTGGAGTGAGCCGAGATTGTGCCACTGTACTCAGCCTGGGTGACAGAGCGAGACTCTGTCTCAAAAAAAAAAAGAAGGCCGGGTGCGGTGGCTCAAGCCTGTAATCCCAGCAC